GTTAAATATAAAATTGACATAGAGAATTTAAAATAAATAATTAAGAAAAAATATCGTCATACGTCATTTGGTAGTTGCTATATGAGAGCACTGAATAGTAACAGTTCTGGAACTAATAAATTTTAATCTTCAGGACCCCTAATCTCAGAGGGGGGGCCCTGAAGCAATTTTTTTTTTTTTTTTTTGAATGAGTGAATTTTTAACAAAATCGATGTTTTTTTTTTGTTTTTTTTTAAGTACTTGTTATTAAAATAAGTACATTTTTAGTGATAATGGATTGAAGTCTTTAATGCTGGCCATAAAATATATTTTAATAACCGTTTCTATTTCATGTGGCCTCAAAAAGCCCCTGTAATTGGTGAAATTTCAAAATTTTCTTGGGGGGTTGTATTGAACCTTTCAGAATCTGTTCATAGCTCCCATTTTGGCAACTGGACCCTCGAATCTATTGTTGCTGGTTGCGAAGGGGTTCCCAAAAATATAGGGTCTTCAACTGGAGTTGAAAAGTTCGTGACTCGACCTGTTTAGTTAAACTATATTGTTATTTTGAAAAGCGGGTCGGGTCGAGGTGTTTAATCATTTGAAATGCTAATTTTAAGTGCTTGGCCCAAGAAAATAAAAAAAATAAAAAACAAAAACACTCGGATATTATAAAACAAAACCCTCTCAAACATTACAAAACGTTACAAAAAAAGAAAAAAAAATGCAATACGTCTCTGTTTTTATTTAAAAATCAAGAATTGATGGAGATAAATAAATAATGTTTGCCTTCAAGGCGAATGATTTTGTTTCTCCTGGAAGCTATCAACAGACATCGAACTGCGATTTACGTATTTATTCTTATACAGACGACACTGGTAATAATAAAAAAAATATCTTTGCCTATTTAGTGCTAATATTTCTTAAATGAATAAACAAACAAAAGAACATGTAATTTTAAAGGAATGGATTTTTCATTTATTAATCCGACATATTTTATAAATTACCCATATTTGAGTAGTCGCTCTGTTTATTTATTAACCTCCACCCCCAAAAAAATAAATAAAAAAATAAGAATAAATAAATAAAAATTGTAATAAATAAACAGGACATCTACTCTAATATAGGTGTCCATTAAAAATGTAAGTAATAAAATAAATATGTAAAAAAATAAAAATGGAAGACTCTTTTTTAAAACACTTGAATAGGAAAAGTCATTTGTCGGAAAAGACGTCATGAATTGTGCGGTTATTATTATTATTATTATTATTACAATTCGTTGACTTTTTATATTAGTGGTAAGTAACTTTTACTGTAGATTGAAACTGTTTGGACCAAACAACAGTTTGATCAGTACGCCAGACATTTTTTTTTTTTTTTGGTCATAGGAATTGATTTTTATAACGCTATCGTTCGGATGATTTCATTTGTTCTTTATTGTATGCTATAAAAAGATGAGAACAAAGCAAAGGACCCTTACGGAACTAATAATGGTAAAATATGACATAGAGAATGATGAGACAATAGCAAAATAAAAAACGCGTATAAATACTTGTTGGAAGTTTTAAAAAAATAGGTCTATTATAGAGGGGACTTCAAACATAGACATACAGTAAGTATCTTACTATTATTACTAGTATTATTACTCACTGGAATTAGAACACGACACATCCAAACTACCCATCTAGGTACTGACCAGGCTCGACGTTGCTTAACTTCGCTACGAGAACCGGTGTTGTTTTTGCGTAATATATGATTGAGTACGGCTTATCAACCTTTTCAAGGTTATTATAAAGCCAGAAAACATTTTTAGATTGTAAGAATTGCTTTTTTTTAAGATAATAATAATTTACTGATACAACTCGAACTAATTAACCCATAGTTGGGGAGAGAAGTAGATTAGTACCTAATACGTTTTGTGATCACATTTTGTTTTTATATTATTTTAGCTAGATGGCTATGTATATATAAAGGTATGCGTCTATATTTCTGAGATGAGGTATTATGTACACTATTTACATTATTCGGACTATTGTCCTCATCTTTGTCGCCATATCTATCTCAACGTTTCGGCCGTTGTACGCTCCGGCCTTCTTCAGGTGGTTGGAATGTCGTCCTCAAGGACACATTGCACAGTGGATAAAGGCGTTAGTTAGATCTAGTGACATGACCCAAAGAGTGTGAGTTCAATACCCGGTTAAGGCAGTGGAGAGCTCGGAGAGGGGAATTAACAGGAGATAACTGATACCTGACATCCATTAGACATGGCACGGGGAACTAGAACAGTTTACCCCAGTGAACGAAATAAAGGGTTCAGTTCGACATTCCAACCACCTGAAGAAGGCCGGAGCGTACAACGGCCGAAACGTTGTGATAAATATGGCAACAAAGATGAGGACAATAGTCCGAATAATGTAAATAGTGTATAAAATTATACATATAAAGACAAGCCTCTATGATGCATGTGTGTGTATGTATGTACACGTATGATCATGTATATGTGTATATACATGTACAAGTCTGCAAAAAAGGAGTCTAATATATGTATATGCGTATGTATGTGTATTTATGTACACCTATGGAAGTGTATGTATGTGTGTGTGTGTATATATATATAATCTCTGTGTGTGTATGTATGTATAACGAAAGAAAAAAACTTATTTAAAATCTTACAATGCCAAACGGTTCTCTAGATAAAACAGACACACAGGCATTCTCCAAGTTTGGATATTAGATGGTACTAAGCTAGGGTAATGAATTTAATTTATGATATCCACATATCCCCAGAGATTCCAAGGACTTTACCCCCCCCCCTCAGATTTGTCTTTATTTCATTTTAAACTGAAGAAATCAAAGAGAGCATAAAAATATCGTGTCTTTAATAAAATTCTCAGCTTTGTTTCATCGTCTTCACTTCCTTTGTCCATACTAATCTCTATATGAATAGTACTGAACTTATAGAATAATGTCAGCATTAGTAATAATAAGAATAAGAATATTGGTGACATTAGTAATAATAGTGCTGAGAGCAATAATTTGCGTATTTGAAACAAGGAGAAAGAGACATGCAAAATGGTTTAACAATCAAAATCGTTAATACGGCAGGGTTAGATGAATCAGAATTATTACTAAATGGCGCGCTTTACAGTTTTTCAAGTGGATTTACTATGACTAGATTTGCCAAATATTATTGCTATAATAACAACAATAATAATTACAATAATAATATTAACAATAATATAATATTAACAACTATAATAATAACAATGACAACAATAATATTATTAATAATAATAAAAGTAACAATATTAAAAACAATAATAATAATAACAATGATAACAGTAACAACAATAATAATGAAAATAGCGAAAATAATAATGAAAATAATAACAATTATAAAACATAGTAATAACAATAATAATAATAATAACAACTATTAATAACAATAATATAATATTAATAATAATAATAATAATAATAGTAATAACAATAATAATAATAATAAATATTATTATTATTATTATCGTGTACATTTGGCTGTGCTGCATGTGCCTGGTATACCATTATTCGTCTGGCTGCCATGATGGATATATTGAGCTTCGTATATTTGTAGCCCATAGTCAGTTTTGTTAGGGAGCTGCTTGCTTGTCCCTACAAATATTCTATGAAACTGAGGATAAAAGGAATCTATAATGACAGGTCTCTGGCTGAAAACGAAAAAAACCGCGCGGACGAAGAAAAGAAATTAGCAATAATAATACTAATAATAATAATGATGCAGACTAGATTTTGCAAAAAAAAAAAAAAAAAAAAAATCTTTCAAAATACAAGGAGTTTGAAGTGGAAATCTCAAAAATATGGCTCACTAAGACATCAATAATTTCAGTTATCGTTGAGGCCCGGGGTTTGATTGGGGGGAAAGTTGTCATAGACTCATTGAAGGGATCCCTGATAACCCATACATTAAACTTAAAGGAATACAAAAAGTTATTATCACAACCACAGCTCCCAGCTTACGAAAGGCTTTATGTAAAATATCGGTGATCTTCGGATATCTTATTTCTATTATTTAAAAAAAAATTTCAATAAAACTGTAATGTCTTAGCTGACCTTAGGTCTCTGGTTGGGACCCAGAAGGAATTGAGTATACGACAGAAATGAAAGGAAATAATAATAATAATAATAATAATAATAATCTCTAAATCCGGTTCTTTTCGGCGCTGCGCATATTTTGAGGAAAGTGTTGTCCGAGGTCCCTGTTGTGACTTGACAGTTTAATGTACACGGTGTATTCAAAAACTTACACTGTCTGACAAAATAACAACAACAATAATAATAATAATGATAGACAAAATGATTGACGCAACCCAGCCTATATTTTTCAACACTTGAAGAGTACAGAAGAGATTGATTTAAGAAAAGAAGATATTTTTTGTAGACTTTTTATATTTTTATACTTGTATACAATTTTTAAACCTAACTGGGTGCTAACATTAAAAATGGTACAATAATTGCTGTGGTATTATATCGAAATAAATACGCTGTATGTTTTATTTCCTTGGAGATATCATCAAATGAACACCCAAATGTTCTTGTTTTTTCTGTCAAACGAATAAAGAAAGGCGTTGTTAAATTAATCAATTTACTCAACGTTATTGTATTTGAATCGAATGTAAATAGTATCGATAGAGACAACAGGTGGAATGGAAGGAAACTATTTAAAAAAAGATCGGAAATTTCCTTAAAAAATTACGACTTTAAAAAAAATAGAAGTCTTATTTCACGACAGAATATCTGAACGGGCAAGATGAACGTACCTTAAAATAGGACCCAAGTCAAATTCTGATTTGTGTTTATTAACATTATTTGGATGATAATAATAATAATAATTTAAACGGAGCCAAAACATTTTAAAAAACAAAAACAAAAAACTATTAGATTGCATTAAAAAGTATTGCGTCACTGAGCCTTATAAATGAAGAGCAGTGTGTAGAAAGTATATTATAGTACATTTTACAATAATGTTGTTGATCTATCTATCTATCTATCTATCTATCTATCTCAGTCTGTTCATATCTATCTATCTATCTATCTATCTATCTATCTCAGTCTGTTCATATCTATCTATCTATCTATCTATCTATCTATCTCAGTCTGTTCATATCTATCTATCTATCTATCTATCTATGGCTCTTATTTCTATCTATCTATCTATCTCAGTATGTTCATATAGAAACTCAAATACGTATACCCACTAAAAATAATATATTTATAATAATATATCTACTCTCAGCCAATTATATATATATATATATATATATATATATATAACGGATAGAGAATATCTGTTAAACTTTTTGGCGAGTTTTTCAACAGCCAAACAAACCTACCAAAACACTTGATATAGGATATCCTTATCCGTTTTATTGAATAAAACCTATCTATCTATCTATCTATCTATCTATCTATCTATCTATCTATCTATCTATCTATCTATCTATCTATCTATCTGTCTATCAGCATCGTCGTTATTAATTAGAGGAATATAATCACGTATTGATGCCGCTAAAAAAATTTTTCCCAAAAAGCTAAAACCGATTTCTGACGTCGAAGGAACCGAAATAAAATCCTTTACAAACACACACACACACACGCACGCACATGCACACACACAGACACTCCCGCCAACTAACACAGAGAGAGAGAGATAGAGAGAGAAAAACTGATAGAGAGAGAATAAAAAGAGAAAGATAAGAAATCTAGCTAAACATGTCAGTGTAAATTTTTCTTTAACTTTAGTTTTCTTGATCCAAGGCCCAAGATCCAGTCAAGGTAGAGCATTAATGAGCGAGATTGTTGGAAGTAAGTGGGAAGGTCGATGTAATTTACAATAAAAAATCTTAAATAAGAAAGAATATCAGTAAAATCAACCACAACCCCAGCAAAACATTGCTAAAAACAATATGAATACTGAGGAAGGTGCTGTACTATTGAAAAGCTTTACTGTCACATGTTCTAAAGCAAGACCTAATACATCCTATCGGGCGTAAATATTCATATAGCATTAAATCCTAATTTTCGTAATTCTATTACAGTGTAACCCGGATATAAGAGAGTTGTCGGGACCGGAGAAGTCTCTTATATCCGGGTTTGGTCTATTTTGTTTAGTCAACACAGGCTGTAATTTGGGACCAGAGAAAATCTCTCTTATATCCGGGTTTCTCATATCCGGGTCTCTTATATCCGGCTTACACTGTACAACTATTTGAATGCCCATGTTATATTAAAAACGGTAAGAGTCTTAGAATCAAACGAACAGTGAAATAGACTGAAATAAAGTAATGGCCGGATGATGCACTATTATGGTTGAATTTGATAGGCTTTCGGCTTGAAACAGACTAAAGTCAAGATATATTACCGGGGCAACGTTCGATCGACATCCAGCCTCCAAAATAGAGGCTCGACGAGAGATCAAACAGCAACAATAATTGGCAAATCGAATGTCCCCATTGTTACAACTGCGGGCAAAGGCACACTTTTATTTTGCACTTTTCACTTAAATAATAAGCCTGTTCATAATGACTCAAAAGTGTCCTTTACCCTGACCATTCAAAAGACACTATGTAAGAAATACAAGTACAATATGCAATAATTCTCTCTCTCTCTCTCTCCTAACTTAATAATAATAATAATAATAATTACTCCCCAAATAGAAATGATCTCGAATGATATAAATAATACAAAATTCACTCTTTTATTCAACCTCTGTCGTGATCAATGTCCACAACCCTATGCCATAGTTAATCGCGGACACCGTAAATTTCCAATGTCTGTACCGTATACGCATATCCAGGACCACATACGATTTTGAATTCACAATTTCCCAAACAACAACAACAATAATAATAATAATTATTATTATTATTATTATTATTATTAATAATAATAATAATAATAATAGCAGCCACAGACAAATTGGGACGCTGAGGATAGTCGCAAAATACCGAGGAAAACTTTTGAAAAAAAGGAATATTTTGAACTCATCCACATGACATGACTACTAAAATTAGCTTTAATACTGGCGTGAGACCTCGAGTATTGAATAAACTTGTTGTAACTTGTACTCCACTGACAGCAACTACTGGTTTGAAAACCTGAATGTAAATAATAATAATAATAATAAGAATCTAAAATCGGCCCTTTTGGGCCCTGTGCTTATTTCGAGGAAGATTTAGTCTGTCTAATGTCTTTGTTGTGACATACCAGATAACTTATGTACCTATAAGTTAATATATTCAAAGACTTACATTGAGTAAGAAAATATAATAATAATAATAATAATAATAATAATAATAAAAATTAGACCGCATCTGAGAGTTTACTTTAGTCGTGATACAAGACACAGTTGAATTAGCTTAGAAAAAAAAATAACCATCTTAAAAGCTTTAGTAAAGAGGTTGGATACTGGTACAAAAATTAAAATGATACAGTTGACAACATTACTAAAATTTGCTTGAATAC